CAAGCTGGGGTATCCAACTCTCACTGTTTTAGGTTCAAAGAATTGTTCATTTCCAACCAAGCTTGCCTTACTGGAGTAGGCGTTTCTTCACATTTTCTCAGTGCCGGCTAATCGTTCATTCTATTAGTGTCTGCTCATTTCGCAACCGTTTTCGGTAGGCATGATACTCTGTATGTACCTCGAACTCACTCTGTCGTAGTTGCAGATGTGCTGCTGGCAGCAACAACAGCGTTTTTTCTCCTAAAGACACGGAGGAACGTTATGCCGCAGTCAGTCTCCTTGTCAAAGTTGACTCTGATGCATGGCCTGACGCCGCGCACGCTAGAACTGTAGGCATGATCAACGCTCTGATACGACTCACGTTCCAAACAACGATGCCTGCCGTCGTATGGTGAGCAAGCTTAGAACAGCGTCTTGCCTGGAAATACTCATACGGTGTAGTGCCCTTCTTACTCTGATCTGCGTCTACCTTCCGGCGAATAAACCTAGAGTTGCGAACACATTCAATCAGGCTCTACCCAAGTTGTACGCCATCAGTATGATGTGGACCCTCAACGCCCGGAAAGACATTCGTGTCTTTTACTACAGCGATTCGATCTCCAGGACGGAATCGCGGAATCAAAGGCCTACTATCACGGGTAGCTATTCAATTCAGGTTGCCACTCGTACGGAAGTCCTCCAGGTGAGGTGTTCTTGCCGGTTGCTGAGGGATGTTTGTTGACGTTGATCAGATATCTGACGTGGATACGGGTACAGAGACAACTGCGAGAAAAACCGAGATTGACGACGGAGATTCGTACGTACATTCGAAAGGAGCGAATTAGATGAATAGCAGTCTCTGAAGTTAATGATGGATATTAGGACGTGGAAGTCGCCGTGAAACACTGATTGTTGTGATGAACAGATAGCTATAGATCTGAGGGCACATCAGCATTAGCGTTTGTGCCAAGCTCTTTGATTGATGGCTTTCTGGTTTGGCGCCTGAGATATTATCAGGGCGCATTCTGCAGCGTGAAAAAGAATCAGACTCACTGCCACCACATATCCTTCTCAGATCGATCGTCTCTCTCCCACTCCCTTCTTGTTTCAAACACTTCAATTGCTCTCTCAACCGGAAACAGAGGCTTCCCAACATCATGGTATACCTTTGAAGGCCACATGAAATGGACATTCGGATGAAGGCGTGTAATCCTCTCCATTACCGGGTAAATACTGTTGTACTCGGCACTCGATGTGGCACAGTAACCGCTACTTCTCACAGGGTATGACGGTTGGAGAATGATTGTAAGATTCGAGGGTATGTCCATCCTATCAAAGCATCAGCCCATGAAACCCGCACACAAATAGATAGACTGACCGTATGATTTCGCGTTCCGGGTCATAGCCTAACACCCACTCTCTAAGAGCCTCCGCGACACCTTGAGAGACATAGCCGGGTTGAAGCTCCTTGGGGAGCTGGTATGTGCTACTGAATCCTGTGAGCCGTATATGCGCGAGATTGGGAAAGAGTCGTGAAAAATCGTGGAGCGACGGTAGCGATGACAGTATACGCAGATGTAGATGAGTGACCGACGGGAATTTGAATGAATCAAAAAGCAACGATGGAGGAAATGTCTCTGCCATCCCACGAGTGAAGATAGTGAGCTCTTTCAGTTTGGGGAACGCTTGTTGTTGGAAGCTGCTTCGGCGTGTGGTGCTACCACGCACGAGTTAATCAGAATCGTCCCATGGTGGCACCTTGTATTCCAAGTACGAAAGAGCCTCTAATCCAGGCGCAACTCTCCTCAGAATCTGGCCCAGCAATGCCTGCTGGCGGAGTATCGCGTACTTCAGTTTGATATCCTTCTTCGCCCTATCGTGTCTCTGTTCCCCACCAGCTACTCTTGACAAATGCTCTTTGTCTTCTTTAGCCAGTTCCTCTTCTTCTCCCAGTTTTGCCTCGTTCTCTCGACGACGGCCCCCGGTTGTAAACCATCTCGTCATCATATACTTCTGCGTCGTGCCTCGTCTCCACCTCATGTGCGGAGGAATCGGAAATCAAAAGCCGCGAGACGTGAATTGTTGAGTTAGATTCGAGATGCTCGACCAGTTGTGCAAAGCCGTTGTTGAGACCCGTGACGATGTAAACGCCCTCAGAAGGGTTGGAAAAATCCAGATTCCGGCTCGCGCTAGCCACGGCGACATTGTATAGGTAAAATATGTAGATTTCATTACCCTCTAGAGTAAGAAAGAGTGTTGGGTCGTCAAGCATAGTCTCCGGATGTGACTTGATGATGGCAAGAGGGTGAGCTGCACGGCCGAGTCCTGATTAGGCAATGAACGCTGCCGCTGCTACATTCCAAACGTCGTTGACCAAGTACTCCAACGTATCACAAACAAGCTCTCTGAATCGCCCTTAATAAATAAAAAAGGACCGAGTATACAACCAACTTTAACCAAAAGATGGCCCAGTCCTTCTAACCGACCATCTGATTCTCCATGGAAACTCCCATCAACCTGCAAGAAAATATATACACTGGATATTTCCCTTCGTCAGACGAAAGGGTAGTAGACAGATGGGACCAAAATACTCACGATCTGTTGCGCTCTGGGCCCGCTCCTTTATATCCTCTTTGGATGCACCAACGAGACAGGTCATGCACCCAGCGTACGCCTTTCCGTTGTCATTGGAACACATGCACCCCACATCCGACAGAGTGCAGGCCTAACAGCCAAAATTAAAGAGAGGTATGGGAAATGGGAAATGGGAAATAGCAGACGCACACCAAGTTTATCGACTATCGTGCACTGATTTTCGCATGTTGCAAACATTAATTCAGATGAGTCCGAGCCGTCAAGCGGGTGCTCAAAGGCGCGTCGTATCGGAGGCACGACAGAGGAGAGCGCTTAATATTACGAGTCGGCCTGAGGTAACGTATGTGGCCTCAGAAGAGACTCACCTCCGTGAACGATCAAGAGAACCGAGAATGCGCTAACAAGGGAATGGTTGACGATCATTGCGAGTGGGTGACGCAGAATAACCGCACAATTGGCACGACATTATGTATATTCTGGATGTACCAAGGCTGTGTTACAGTGTACTTATAACGGAAGGCTTGCCGTGTACCACGCTGGCATATCATGGAAAGTGCCCTTGGTAACCAGGCTGTGAAGATTGATTCCCGCAGAACATAAAGACCAATACATTGGAGGAAGATTTTTATCTCGCAACAAACCAGCTGGCGAGATTGACGCTCACATCTGTACTGCTGTGATGGAATTAACTGAATCAGGGAATCTGCTTTTGGAGTACGGGTCTATTGCTGTTCTATGATCTCGTGTTGTGCCAGTATAGCTGGATGCAATTCATCGCATTCTTCAAGTCACTTCCGTAAGATGGATGATATATATGTAGTTTCACTTCCGAGCATAAGACGTACCTTCACTTAGATCAATGGGGGGAAATCTCCGTGTTGTACAGATAAATATGCAGACTGCGTTCAAGACTAGGGTTGCGCACGAAAACCAGGGTTTCGGACTGATAGTTACTGGTAATTTACCTACCCCAGTTGGGTAGCTTACCTGTCGTGTGATGATATATGAGCAGCGGCCATGTCACCACTATACTCAATCCTAACTATTTTTATTTAAAGCGTAAAACACACGTCTGTAGTGATTTTCAACAAATCATACTGCAGGAGAAGGAAATTGTGTAAGATAACACGAAGCTGAAGAGAATTGGCGCATCAGTCATGGGATGGCTACACGGGACATCATAAGTAACAATTACAGTATCAAAAAACACCTCCTTGGCAGAGAGGTCAGTACAAAACCTTATCTTACACTCCATTCGTGCAGTCCTAAATAGGGTTGCGCACGAAACACCCAGTTTTGATACACCCCGGTTTCGGACCGGTAAGTTCCCGGTAAGAAACTGGTAAGAAACCAGAGGTCAGTGGAGCATATTTCATTGAGGTAACTTACCGACCACGTGACAGGGAGAAGGATTCTCAGACTTAGATGTGTATAAAGAAATAAGAAGACGTAGCCAGAGAATTCTGATGGGTATTGGGACAGAATTCATGAGTATTTGAGGTACGACAATGGGGCAGCGTAGCGTCACGGCGTCGTACAGAAGAATTTGGAAAAATGGCTCCGCGGCAGTCACGTGAATGGTCCCGTGACCTATAAGAAACTGTAAATTACCGTACCGGTAAGAAATAGGGCCGAGGGGAAAACCTAGGTTATTTACCGAATTTGGTTTTGTACAGTATTATACCATGTTTTATACCATGTATTATACCTGAGGGGTCAAGGGGTTGATTAGCTGTGTAGAATACCCTAGTCACATGTCGTAAAAAACCCGATATAGCGACGTACAATAGTCGTACAATTGAGCGTTGAATCCACCGTTGATGCCCATTGCCGATTGATACATTGTTTAATTACAAAACTCCATGCCATTGTTGCCGGAGAAATTCGAGAAGCTTCGAAATTCATAGTAAAGATTAACAATGTGATAATAAAGCTGATATTCTCAGAAATCGAGCTCGTAGTGCGACTGCGACACTGGCTACAAGTTGTCACATCTCAATTTTCCTCCTTCTAACAGTACACTAAGTCAATTATTTGTATGAAATACCTGTCTTTGACCAGAATGCGACGTATTTGAGCCTCAGGTGACCGAATTTGGCGTCGATAATGGTCGGAGTGCTCAGCGCTGTTGTCGATGGCGGCGACAAGGTGAAAAACGACGAGAAAAAACGAGAAAAAAGCCGTGGAATTCTGAATTTATACATCACGTGACAGGGTATTATACCATGTATAATACCCTGTATAAAACCTCTCCCACGGCGACGTAGGTATTATACCAGTGCCCGATCCCCCAGAGGTTTTCCCCTCGGCCCTAGTAAGAAACCCCCCCCCCCCCCTGGAGGTTTCGTGCGCGGCCCTAGGCCTAAACAATTAACGTTGTTACTTGAACTTGAAAGAAAAGGACAGCCAAAAGCAGACTTAATTTGCTGCCCCAGAGAGGCTCGAACTCTCGACCTTCCGATGTCAAGACATAACAGTCGGACGCTGTAACCAACTCAGCCATGGGGCACACGTTCGCTGGTCTCAGTCAGCACACTATCATGCGTCCAAAGAATGATCCTACATAACACTATGAAAAAGTATATAACTGTATAACTAATCTTTATACGTTGAGTCTAAGTCACGGATAAATAACAGTGGATAGAGATGCGATATGATCTGCCGCTAAGCGTCTCGCACGTGGCTTCGATCATTGATATGTGATACTTGGTAGGAAAACCTATTCTTGTTCAACGCTAAGACAGCCGGGCAACTGACGATACACGGGAATGTCGACAAATTCAACCCTGCATGAACAAAATTGCATGTCGTCCAAGTGCGGTCTGCATCTATTATACTGTGCTGTTTGAACTGTCACTCGCAAGTCACTCGACGATCCTTCGGATCGCTGATCCACTCTGCTCGTACCTGAGACCGCTGACAAAACATCAACGAATTTCAAAGCGCGACGTCGTGACATTTCGCGTTGTCAAAAGAAAGCATCCTTGTTATACAGATCTTCATCCGCGGGGCATGAGCAGTTCCTCTCTTGGTCAGATTATACAACAATTTCGTACTTCTCGAACTCCTTCACCAATACGCCCCACCTGCCTCCATGCCAAGTCGACATATCCTTCCATTCCTCGCTATCCGCGCCATATACAAGGCGTACCCACAAAACCCACGCGGCAACCGTGAAATCCGCGTATGAAAGAATATCTCCCATCACATACTTGTCCTCCTTCCCATACCACGCGTCGATCTTTCCAAAATCAGCCTTCAACCTCGCCCACTCCCTCACCTTATCCTCGCCTTTCGGGATCACATCCTCCAATTTCTTCCCTCCAAAAGCGTTGGCCTCCCTGGTCCTCCTAAAATATTCCTCACTGTAGGGATTCAAAACGAAGTTGGACCGGATAAGCGCGAACTGCCAAAGAGCATCAAAGCGGGACTCTAACGCCTCGTTGAAGGCGTAGTGGAGCGCATCGGTACCCGCGGGGAAGACAGTGGGTGTTTTCGGGTAGGTTTTGTCGAGGTATCGCGCGATGGCTGCTGAGTCGGAGACAAGGGCGCCGGTGGAGGCATCGTGAAGAAGAGGGCATGTGTAGTGGGGTGTTATGCCGTCAGCCTTGGTGGCACTGGCTTTGGCGCCAAGCTTCTTGTACAGGCCTTCGATGTCGGGGTACTCAACCCATTCAGTGTGGTATGGAAGCCCTTTGTAGTTGAGCACGTATCTGGATGAAGTATTGAGCAATAGGTACTATACGCGGGGGAAAAACGGACCTGGCTTTCCAGATGTTAGGCGACCAAGCTTTGGTGGGGAGAGTCGATGGGATGTCGTACAGAGTAAGGGAGGTGGACATTTTGGATGATTGGCATAGTCTGGAGGATTGGTAAATATATTCAAACGCGGTCGAAGGCTGTGAGATTGATTATCGAGCACGAGCTCATTATTTCTCGTCACTGGGTATTTTGGGGCTGTCATGTGGGAAGGCTGACTGATGAATAGAAGTCAATAACTAATAAGCAGTTCTCTCGGGCCCCCGTTAACGAAAGATTTGAAAGCAAAACGTGACTAGCCTGGTGACCGTCTCTCTCAATCGTCCGAGTCGTTGCAGGTAAGGAATCTCATCCGTGTAAAGTGGTGAGAGATTCTATGACCGTGTCGATTTCCTTTCCTTTCCAAGGCCCAAGGGAGGGAATAAGAGAGACCGACTGTTATGACCATCGCTACTGACGAAAATAGCCACGAAAATTGAAATTACATACGGAGTTGCGCCCCGTTTGCCTTAGAACCCACATAGATCGACATCTGATTACAGAGACAAGACTCCGAGAGTTGTGAACCGAAAAGAGCGCACATTACAATTGATCATTCCCTCTAAATTTGATCATCAGTTCGGAGAACTGTTGGAAAATGTCATGAACGATCTTCGTAAACCTACAAGCAAAAATTTTACCCAAAGCAGCCTGCGCGGCATTCGACAGTTAGTCGTTCAGGGACACTGCCGAGATGGGACTCGGCCCTGTCTTTACCCATACCGCTGACAGAGATACCCAACACTGGCGCATCCGTGGCTGAGGCCGTGAGTTTGTCGCAGGTGTTATTCAGGAGATGTGATGGCATAAAGCCACGGGCCTGGCCTGAAGCCACACCCAAGTCCATACATCAAGGTGACGGCGTACCCAGATTGCAGCCACGTCGGATAATTTCTTGTTGCTGGATATGGAATGCCATGGATGCCCGAGCGCTCGTTGTTCTGTAAGCTAAGTACGATGGGGGTGGATCTCCGCTGGGAAATAATGAGCGGGAGGAACAGCAAACACGACAGTCGAGACCCATGCTCGCTCTGAGGTCATAGCCGTCCTCATCGCTGTTGTCGACCTAAGAAAAGGGGAGCTAGTTGACTAATGGAAACGCGGGGGTAGGAAGTTCAACGTACGACATAGAGTTTAGAGTGAGACTGCGCGCTGCGATACGACTCGGGAAGCAAAACCCATTCTAGTGACACCATAGCGGGCGCGACACGTTTGGTACCTTACCATTCTCAGCTACAGCCTCCTAACCGCTTGTACGAAATTAGGATGACTAAAACGTTCTAAAGGGTACACAGAACTTTGCGGGTCTTAGTGGCATTCGTATTGTTAAATCCTGTTGATATGGATTCCATACAAATGTTTGTCAATTCAGGACGATAGGGAGATTGCAGGTGGGAAGTACAATGGTATCCTCCTGTGCTAGGACATTGAAGATCTTCAAACGAAGTATACACAGCACAGGACTCACCTCTGGTACACTATCGTCATACCTCGCGAATCGCGTCGTCGTATGGCACCAGACGCTGTCACGAAATGACACAGGCACTGGCCCGTGCTTGCCAGATAATGAACCGACTACTGGCAAACCAGGACTCGTTGATTTTGACGCGTCATTCGCTCAATGAAGAAGATTGGAGAAATAATCGAGGTTTAAACGTTTAATGTCGTTCGGCAATGCTGAGTTGCATACGCTTAGCATATCGCAATTGCAGGTCACAGGCTGCTTTACTTGAAATCAAATTCATGAGCCTTGAGATGTCATTTCGATAAATACGACTCACCGCACCTCTGGACAACCAGCTGCCTCGTTTGGTTGCTCCTCGGAAATCAATATGGTTGGTATACTTGCAAAGGTCGATTACGCAGGCCGATTTCAGCTCAAATAATTCGCATACAAGACACCCAAGTTTGGTGATGGTTGTAGTCTCAACAGCGGAGCAGGATGGCCGGAACGACTATGCCCGCAACACTACTAACGAATATTGTGTCCGATTCAGAACTGCAGATCTATTTCCCGTATTATTTTCTACCGCCCAATGCCATCAGGTGCAACAAAGGTACACGTTCAATGTATGGCAGTAGAATGCGATATGTGACGCGACAAGGTCAAGAACGAAAGGGGAGATAATGGTGGTAAGAGATCAAAAGGTACTCCGAGTTCTTTTCCCACCACCATCAGTCTTTCACCAACATGGCCATTTTCTCCTGCTCGCCGCGTCGACGGAATCATGATGGATCTCTTTTATGATTAATTTCATCAATGTCGTCCGGTAATCTTCCAGCAACCCGGACGAGGAAACATTCGAGGAAGAGCTGGTCGAGTCTGCCAGGTTGGCACGACCGCATATTACACTTTCCTTTATCAACAATTCTTATCGAGAGATTCGCAACAAAACTTGCTTTGAGGGACGCGTGGCGGATATCCACGTAGAGAAGGAGGTACGGCATTGGGATAATGTATGTCGGTGCGAGTTCCACAGCGTTCGTGCCGCCCTACTCTTGGACATGTACTATCTCTCCTTAATCCCCCCTGAGGATGGCACATTTCTCGGATCTCCAAAACGCACGTTCATCTGCCAGATCACCAGCCGGGAACACAATGTCTCGACGTTCCCCTCGCTGTCATTCTGTTCCTGCCGCTGCCCTCGGGTATCCGCGACCTGTTAGCAGGTAGCACGTTCAAATCGATCTCTTGCCTTTCGCCTTCTGCAGATGTGCGTTAGTAAAACAAGGGATACCCACTCAAACTGTCACCCTTTTTCTGACGCCTGCAGTCGTTCGTTCTTCTGCCAATCGACTCTCTAGCTCGAAGCCATGTGTAGGGACACTGCATATCCCGTCTTGTTAGCGCCGGAAAACTAAACAATGGCAATCGTCCCAGGTTTATAGGGTATCTCTATGTGCCTCTTCCTGCTGATGATCGTTTGTTAACTATTACTTTGCAGGGTATCCATCACGACTTCGACGGCGGACCCAGCTCTCAAACCCGATTCGCAGGAAGCTCTTCTCCGAAGGAGCGTCCAAATAAGCATGTGTACTTACGATGGATCCAAAAAATGCTCATACCGTTCCGTCGCGAAGAAGCAAAACAGCGATTGGACAGAAAATCGGTTCGCAGAACCAAACCCCGGGATGGCCCGTGAACTCTCGTTTGTTCTTTGGATATCCTGACAGCTTCTGCTGCTGACTTCCATGCATAGAGGCTACTGATCGCGTCGTTTCCGGGGTGGTTTTGTCGTGGTGTATGTCAGAGGTAGTTTCCCACCTCGTGCTTGGCACGAAGAACGGGTTTTCTTGCAAGTCGGTTTTTTCCCCGGACCGAGCCGTCGTAGGTGGCTAACTAGGCATCTTCATAGGCCGTTCACCCGCTAGACCTCAGTACTATCAAGTAAGAACCCTCCGTTCCCCTGTGTACTGTCGACAGCGTCCTTTTGCGAAAGCGACTCTTTCACAAATTAAATATGGATCAATCAATAGGGGTATACACGTTTGGATGTCACCCGAATTCCGAACACGAGGGTGGTAACTTACCACTTTGAAGAAAGGATTCGCAAAGCCTGACGCGCGAGTCATGCTTAGCTGTCACCAAGTATAAGTGGACCGACTGCCGCTCGGTCTCACAAGGGCATACGGTACACCTTGGGCAAGCCTTCCCTTCATAGCATCGCCGCTGTCACGGTCCTGGCCCATAGAACATGCAAGCCCTAAAGC